GTGTAATAGAATCTGCCCTGACTCATCATACATGCTGAACAATCAGCTAGGCAGAAACTACAGCAAATTGTTTAATAACTCAGATCTAGTCTCTAGATTTTTAACGTGTATGCACCAATAGCTTTTCTTGGGTCTCATCCACTATGCTCCCTCCCTTTCCCTTTTTTTTTTTCTCCTTTTTTAATACTTTTTTTTTTGTCATCACAGCTGTTACTCTCCAAGAAAAAGAATGGGGAGAGTGGGTGTGGGGCCTCAGAGCCCCCTTCTTTTGGCCTGTGAGCTCAGTCAGTGTGAAAGTGGCCAGGGAGAGCCGCTTAGCCTTGTGGGATTGGGACAAAAGGATGTCCTGGAAGGGAAGAGAGACAATTGTAGGGCATTGTAGCATTTCCTGTCTAGGTAGTAACCATTTGTATAACTTTAAACCTGTCAGCAGGGTACAAAGGTACCTGGGACTTCTGCGTCACCTCCCTGCCCTACTCCAGCCAGGCCCTAGGTCCCATCAGGCCATCTTCCCAGGATGTCATTTCTCATCCATCCTCCTGTCTTGGTAGCCTCTGCCCTAGTCTGGTCCCCATCCCCTCCAGTGGTAAAACCATCAGCTCTCTTCCTGTTACCGACCACTTGCCCCTGCAGTCCACACCCAGACTGCAACCAGAGTCATTGCCCTCACATACAGATTAGATAGTGCCCCACCTCCCAGTCCTCAGCTTCCCAAATTCTCGTCATTTCTCAAAGCCTAGCTCAAAATCTTCCTGATTTTGAGCCCTCTCTAAGTCTCCCTGACCTGTCCTCTGCTTGTGTTGCAGCTCCTGTGCCACACACCACCACCCCCTAGACTGGGACCGTATTTCTTTGGTTTAGCTCAGCATCCCCCATGCCATTCTGCGCATTGCTTACACTTGATGGTGTTTCAGTGAGTAGGCTGAGAGGACATGAAGTGAATAATCATGGGGAAGCATACAAAGTCCCTGCTCTCGTCATAGACATTACGCAGAACACTGGGAGAAGGAAGGGAATGCATTCCAGAAGGCAGAATAGTCCAAGGATCAGTCTGAAAAGAGCAGTGTGGCTGGAGAAGCAGAGAGAGGATAGGAGAGAAGGACCTGCTGGATTCAGGTCCACCTCCACTGATGGACTAGGTAGGCAGGGCATAGTAGGGTAGCTTCGAGGGGCCTTGGAGGACCAAGGGGGCAGAGTGCTGCAGGATTCTGTCTGCCCTGCTGGGTGGTCCAGGCCTCAGAGCTCTCCGGGCCTGGATTTTTACACTCGAGGTGTCCTATAGGGATGCCATTCATGTTCCCTTTGAATTAGGCTCCTTCCCCGCTCTGGATTTCAGGCATAAGAGGAAACCTTGGATCTTAGAGGACATGGCTGGTCCAGGAAGCCTGCTCCATCTTACTGACTTTAGGCAGGCTCTCTGTGGGGTGAGGTTCAGGGCTGGGCTCAGCAGAGAGAGGGGTCTGGTGCTGGGGGCCCCCAGACTGAAGCAGCAGAGACTGAATGTCACAGTGGGATGGGTGGACTCTGTTTCTGTCCATGCTGGTGAGGCTGTACTGAACATTGAGGGACTTGCTCTCAGCCCTGGGCTCAACTCCTGCCTGGGTAGACCACCCCTGCCAGGTGTCCCCCTCTGTCAACGGAGCTGAGCACCCCAATACCTCCCAGAGATCCTGCTGGCTCCCAGCAAGGTTGGAAGACTTCACAGAGCTACACCTTGTGACTTGGTTTCTGCCTTGGGTTCTCTAGCCATTGCTGGAGCAGGCCCTGGATGCATTGGTGCACCAGAAGCAGCGGGAGCTGGCTCTGTCCTCAGAGGCTATCTTCTAGCCCAAACAACCCTGTTGTTTTTGTTACTGTGCCTCTTCTAGGGGAAGCCCAAAGAGGCAGGTGGCCAGTCCCAGAGGTGGAAATGGGCACAGCCCCATGGTTTCTGAAATCAGACAGACCTAGGCCTTTTCAAATCCCAGCTCTGCCTCTTTCTAGCTGTGTGACCTTAGGCAAGTTACTTAATCTCTCTGTTTTCCCATTTGTGAAAATGTGGATAAGATACCTGCCTTGTAGGGCTGAAGTTTTAAATGAGATGACAGCATAGATAAAGCACATTGTACAATGCCTATATTAGTTCCCCTTCCCTTCTGCAGTTTGAGGGCTGGGAGCAAATTCGAGTGCTTGCTTGTGTGCCTCCTGCTCTGTTCAGCCTTCCCTGGACCCAGATGCAGACAGTGACTGCGGATGGGACGGAGCATGGCTGCTAGTGCCCATACTTTAGAGTGTCCACACAGGGAGAGGATCATGGGTGGACATGAGGGGTAGTGGAGTAGGGGGTAGTGAGAGGCAGTCCTTACTTTCCGACTAGTCTGCCCCAAGCCCCTCTGTGAATGGCACTGAGGCTGAGAGAACCAGACCTTCCATTTGCATGTTCCACTGATGGACTGGGAAGACAGGTTCTTCTTGCTCTTCCTTCTCTTCACTCTCACCATTCACCAGAAGATCCCTGATTCTTCAATTTTCAGCAGCCAGTGGTCTGTCCCTTCCTTCTCTTTGGGCTGCAGGGGCAGATTAGCCAATAGACAAGGTAAGCACTGTGCTTACCTTGCTTACCAGATCATCTGTAGTGAACAACTTCACATTTTTTCACCACATCAAAGATTCTGCTTCGAGATATAGCTGACATCTGTCTCTCTTCTGATCCCACAGCATCTTCCTACAGAATCAAAGCCTCTTTTCACATTTACAATTCCTGACAGGTGGATGACTCAGTAAGCAAGGTAAAGCATGGGCTTACTTGTGCTTACTTACTAATCTCTAGTGACCAATGGTGAGTAAGCACAAGTAAGCCCATGCTGAGTAAGCACAAGTAAGCCCATGCTTACCTTGCTCACTGGGTCATCCGCCGCTGATGGGCTAGGTTGGCAGGTTCTTTGCCTTACCAGTTTTCTTTCTTGTGTCCTGGACACAGGGAATGGTGGGTCAGGGCTGAGCACAGGGGATGTCGCCCAGATGCCAGCAAGGAGAAGTGTGCAGATGGGCTTGCAGGGACATGCTTAGGGAAACGTAATCCAAAATGGTGGGCAGTGAGCAACAAGTTAGGGCTCAGACAAGGGGTTTAGACACTTCCTCGTGTGGTGCTGTAGCTAGGAAGGCCACAGCTCTAGGTCAGCATTGGGAAAGACCTTGGTGACCAATAGAAAATGGCAGCCTGTCTTTGTAGGGTACTGTGGGGTACCTGTGCCTCTGATCAGGACAGGGAATGACCAGACAGAATTAAATGAAAATCTCATCGTGTCACTCACTAGCTTAAAATCCTTTGACAATTGTCTGTTAGTCTTAGGATGAAACATAAAGCTCTTAACATGGCTTTTAAGCCTGGCCCTTGCCTACTTCTTCAACCTTCTCTCCTATCCTCTCTCTGCTTCTCCAGCCACACTGCTCTTTTCAGACTGATCCTTGGACTATTCTGCCTTCTGGAATGCATTGCCTTCCTTCTCCCAGTGTTCTGCGTAATGTCTATGACGAGAGCAGGGACTTTGTATGCTTCCCCATGATTATATCCCTATGGTTATAGTCCTGCTTATAGAAGGTACTAAAATAATATTTGTTGAATGAATGAATCCTTAAGATTTGTGCTTTAATGAATAAAGAGAACGGACAGTGGTGGTTCAGCGGCAGGATTCTCAACTTCCATGCTGGAGACCAGGGTTCTATTCCCGGCCAGTGGACCTCATATGCGGCTACCACCTGTCTGTCTCTGGAGGCTTGCATGTTGCTGTGGTGCTGAACAGGTTTCAGTAGAGCTTCTAGACTGAGATGAACTAGGAAGAAAGGCCTGGTAATCTGCTTCTAAAAATCAGCAGTGCACGTATTAATTGATTAAAGAGAAACTAATTTGCTCTGTAAACCTTCATCTAAAGTACAATTTAAAAAAAAAGAATTATCAGTGTAAAAAGACCTCAGTCACTATGTTTCTCAATCTTGGAAGACATTCAATAAAATTATAGACCCACAAAAAAATAAACAAAATCTTGATGGAGATGTATATATAGAAGGATGTTCACGACATGTTAGGTGGGGGAGAGGCAGTCAGAAAAAAAAAAAAGCCAGTGCAAACCCTCTGGATCACGATGGTCTGATCCTGGGGATAGCACAGGACTGGGCAGCGTTTTGTCCCATTGTGCATGGGGTCACCATTGAGTCGAGGGCTAACAAAACAAGAGAACAGGAAACGATTCAAAAGCAGGCTGCCTGGGTTTGAATCCCAGCTCTGCCACTTATAAACTATGGAGCCTTTGGCAAGCTATTCAGCCTCTCTGTGCCTTGCTTTCGTCATCTGAAAAGTGCGGATAAGACAGCCTACCTTGGAGGTGTGACTTTTAAGTTAGTTAAATTAGAGCCATGACTGGCACATATTATCTTCATTATTGTTACTTCTCACAGAGGCCTACCTTGACTCCTTACTCTCTTGCCCCAGACTCTGTACACAGTCCCTCTGATACTTGCCTGCTTAGTACCCTGCGTTCTCTAATATAGCATTTGTCACAATTGCAAATTTATATTTGCTATAGTTGGGAGCCTTGGTGGTGTAGTGGGTAAGCACTGGGCTGCTAACCAAAAGCTCAGCAGTTCAGATCCAGCAGCTGCTCCTTGGAGACCCTATGAGGCAATTCTACTCTGTCCTGCAGGGTCGCCAGGAGTCGGAATCGACTTGACAGTAACAGGTTTGGTTTGTAGTATGCATTTAATTAATGTTTCTTTCTCTCCCCCTAGATGTTAGGCTGCATGAGGTAGGGAAGGAAGGATGTCGCTTATGTCCACCACTGTAGCCTGTGTGCCTGGCACATTCTAGGTGCTCAGTCAATAACACTGCATGGCCTGGACCACCTCTGGGCTTGCCCTGAGCCTGGGGCCTTGGGAGCACCGATCCTGATGCTGACTCTGGCCTGATGGGTAAGAACTGGCCTGTGTTTCCACCTCCTGAGGCTCTCCTTTGCCTTGTCTCGCAGGCACAGACATGGCTGTCTTCTGTCTGCTGTGCGGGAAGCGTTTCCAGGCGCAGAGTGCGCTCCAGCAGCACATGGAGGTCCACGCAGGCGTGCGCAGCTACATCTGCAGTGAGTGCAACCGCACTTTCCCCAGCCACACGGCCCTCAAACGCCACCTGCGCTCGCACACAGGTAGGCCACTCCCAGAGGTGGGGGTGGATTGGGGTCTCTGGGAACCCATGTCGGGATTTACTTCCAAAGACGTAAAGTGGAGGTGCTGAGCTGAGTCAGCCCTCAGCCTTCTCTGCCCAAGGATTGGACACGTAGGGGCTTCCTGTAGTTCCGAGTAAGTGTGGACAGTTCCTCTCTCAAGCCCATCCCCGTGAACCACTGGTTCTCAATCTCTCTGTGCTCAACAGAGGATGCTCATTAAACATGCAGACTCTTGCATTTTCATGCAAAAAATGCAGACAATTGGATTCAGTGGATCCAGGGTAGGGTCCAAGGCTCAACATTATTAATGAGTATTCCTAGGAGATTCTGATGCAGATGGACCCAAAAGACATTCAGAGAAAAACTGCCCTGCTTGGTCTCTGACTCTATCCTGGCCCCCACCACTCTCATCGAACCTGCTCCACTTACATGCAGTCCTGAAGTCAACCTCTACAAACACTTTTTCCTTGGCACTTGAGGGAATGTTGAAGAACTGTTCCTACTTCCACAAAGACAGAAGCCAATTGTCTATTACCTGGGCCTTAACCTTGTTTGGAGCAGACAATGAAGGTATTTCAACGATGAGCCAGAAAATCTCCCATATCCATGCCCAGCCAGTTCCAGATGATGGAGGGAGTTGTGAAGCGGGGTGGGGAGAGCCATCACCACCCTCTGGGGTTTTGTGGGTGCAAAACTTGGTCCCTAAGAGCCAAGAGGCATTTGTTTCCTTGCAGCAGCCCCAGTCTTCCCAGAGAAGAAGAATGGATGACTTAAATACCTTCTTATTTCTGGGACAAAACTGGGTCTTTGTTGACTGTGACTGGGTAAAGAAAGCCATTTCTGAGTCTGTGTGTGTCTCTGCTTAGGTGTTTTCTGTCCTCTGTGGGGTGGGGCCAGGAAGACAGGTAGACCATCTGTCTGCATATGTAACAATGTATGCTGTGTCTGTTGGAGAGGGTATAAAAACTCTGTGCCTCAAGAGAAGAATGGTAGTAGTATCTTCTGCTCATTCTTGAGTCTTGTCACAGCTCCAGGACTGAGTATGTAAGGATAGCCTATCATGGGTGGCAGACTGCTGAATAAGAGGGGTTTTGTCACAGGAGTCCCTGGGTGGTGCAAACAGTGAATGCACTCGGCTGATAACCCAAAGGTTAGAGGTTCGAATCTACTCACAAACACCTTAGAAGAAAGTCCTGGCAATCTCCTTATGAAAAATCAGCCATTGAATATCCTATGAAGCACATTTCTACTCTGACATACACGGGATCGCCATGAGTAGGCATCAACTCGAAGGCAACTTTTTTTTTTTTTTTTTTGGTGGACTGAGCTGGCCTGTCCTGGCAGCAGTAGGTCTCCTCACCAAGGAGCTTGTCTGGGTTCTCACTCCGGGGTGCCATTCTGTGTGAGTGGGCATATTGTGTCAGCATCACCAGATTGGCTTAGAATTACTTAGAATTGCTGGGGTAGGATAGCTGGAGGCCCTAGAGGGTAGGGCCCATCAGGAAGGGCTAAGGAGGAAGGATGCTGACTAGGACTTTCTCTACAGTGACTGCACAAGTGTCCCCTGCAGGTATATGCACCTTCCTGCCAACACCTCCCCCACTGGGTCCCCTAAGGTCAGCTATCAAAGATGCCCAGCCACCTTGCAGCCACTTCTGAATAGACCGCTGGATCAGATCAGCTGGCTTTATGTGGCTTGAATGATCCAGCCCTGCTAAGTCCACCTGGGATATCCCCAGGCCCAGGCTGCCTCTAAGAGCTCACACATCCGATTGTCACATGCCCTTGTGCCAGTTGTGGCTCCCATCTGTGGGGACAGGCTGTTTCTAGACAGAGTTTGGGAGAAGCCTTTGCTTAACCTAGGAAACGCGGAGCATGTGCCCTGCCCAGGCACACACGCAAACACCTATCGATCTTCACACCAGCGAGGCCCTGTGCACACAAGCCGTCCACAGGCCGAACACCACCACCACCACCCCGGCACAATGCCTCATTAATATTCCGTTGTTCTTGGCCCATTTGCTGCTGGGGCTGGGTGTTTAGCATCAGCAGCTGTGTTTGGTAGGTTAGTCCAGCCGAGCTCTTGGCGTTGATGGATCCCTGATTCACATGGCTCATCATATAATAAACTCTCAGCTGTGCTGAAGGGAGGGGGTGGGAGGGACGGGCCGGAAGAGCCATCAGGATGGGGCTGGGGCTGGGGCGGGGAGGACCACACTGGGCTTGGCCAGTGCAAGGGAAGCCACCAGGTAAGCACAGACCACCAGGGGTCCCAGGTGCACTGTGCAGGCCGGAGGGGGCTCTAATTAGTCTCGGTGGTCCTGCACTTAATGTCAAGCTCATTAAGGAGGCTACAGAGTTAATCAACATACCACAAATTGGATTTTTAGTTCCGCAGCCAGTTTTGTGAACATTATGGGGACGCTGACGCGATTAACTCTCAGGGTGAAGATTCCAGGCCAGGTGCTCTCCATGCTTCACGCCCCCTCCCATGTGTGTCTCTGTGTGTGCGTGTGTTGGTATTTTCTCTTTCTTCTTTTTCCTTCTCAATTCTTTTTATTTGTTTCCCTAGGCTGACTCTGGAGATTTCCTATTGAAAGCCATTTAACATGTGATCCACTTCATAATTAAATTCATAAAAATCTGATCAAACAAATCCCTCTCTCTTAACCCTTTGTGTTTCAAACTCTCGGGGCCCCCCTCTGCAGGTGAAAGGCACACTGCCGGCCGGGTGGCTGCCGATGTACATTTTAATTACTGGCTCCAGCTGAAGTCTCACGTGGCCCTGGCGTTATTTATTTATTTATATCTTAATGACGATACTGAATCCTTGATTAAAGTCATAATTGTTGCCGATTCGGGAAGGCGGGGTTGGATGTCAGGCGGGAGCCGCGCGTGCAGACACCCACAGAGGGGCATGTGGGTGCGCACAGGCTGACCGTCACTCTGTTAGATGCACAGCTAATTAGAACCAGAGTCTGTGCCGGCCTCTATTCCCCTTGGGTTTGATGGGGCAGCGGCTGGGGGCCAGCAGCCTGCGGAGCCGCGGTGACAAGAGCACAGGCAGGTCCTAATTTCCCAGCTGAGAGCCCTAGGACTTGGTTCACCCCAATCTGCAATAGGAGCCCTGGTGGTGCAATGGTTGGTAAAGCGCTTGGCTGTTAACTGGAAAGGTTGGTGGTTCGAACCCACCCAGCAGCCCCATGGGAGAAAGACCTGGCGATGCCCGCATAAAGATTACAGCCTAGAAAACCCTAGGTATGGGGTAGTTCTACTCTGTCCTGTGGAGTTGCTATGAGTCGGAATCGACTCTACGGCATCTAACAACAGCAGTCTGCATGTGAAGAACTCATTGGGGAATTCATGATCTCTGAATCAGGGCAGTGCCCCCTAGATTGGGGCAAACTGGTATCCATGGAGAGCTTCTGCTGTTGAGCGTCTCCCATCCAACTCCCTGATGGAAGTGCTCACACCCCCACCCCTTTACGTCCTCAGTGCTTCTTGCAAATCTTCCACCCACGAGCGAGCCAGCCTGTGAGCAGACCCCAGCATCCACTCCCCACAGAGCCTTAAAAACCCTTAGAGCCATCAGGTGAGATGAGAATTTATGTGGGTCCAGGGGCCTGCGTTTGGGCAGGGAGGAGGTTTGGTTAGCGGCCTGCGGAGAGGAGCGAGAGAAGGGAGTAAAATATCATTTTAGAGAGGAAGTGAAGGCGCAGGCATGTGAGTCTATAACGAGAAGGACAATTTATGCCCAGGCACGAGCGCAGTTTGACATGGGGATAATGAAAAAACGTAGGTCATTGTGGATGACTTAAACCTTCAGCAGCTGAAGAAAATGTATGAAATGCAGAGGACATTACACGGTTGGCAGCCCCGCACATCTGCAGAGGGACAAGTGAAATACAGTGGGCCATTCTTTACCATAAGCTGTGGTTGTTGGAGATGCAGCCCAGAGAAATTGTAATTACAGTGACAAGACGAATCAGCGATATTTAAATATTCATGAACAAAGTCTGGGGTGATCAATCTATCTTTATTGTCTGTGCCTTCACTCCTGTAATAAATAAGTAGCTGAAGTCCCCACCTTTCAGTCTCCAGAGCCCTCACTTCTGGTACAAAACACAGGATGGCTAATCCTCACACCTCAGCCTCCCAGTGCTGCAGGGCATTTAAGAGTGGAGTGTGCAAAAACGTGGCTGATGAGTATATGAGCATAGACTCCAGCTGAAGAGATGCGCGTCGTCTCAAACTTCGTGTACCCAGCATTTCCTGAGTGCCTGCTCTGTGTCATCCCTGTGCTAGGCACCAAGCCTAAAACAATGAATAGGTGCAGTTCTTACCCTTGAGGTGCTTCTTTCTAAAGCCCTAGTGGGCATCAGTAGATACAGTGCGGCATGCCAGCGAGCAAATGTGATCAGTATCCACAGTAGATACCGTGTAGCATGACAATTAGCAATATGATCAGTATCCAGTGTCTAGACGCTGGAGACAGACTGGAGTTTGAATCTTGCCTCCTCTACTTCTTAGCTGTGTGACCCTCGAGATGATTAACCATCTCATTTTTTCTCATCTGTAAAATGAAAATGCCGATCACTCATATCTTTCTGGTAAGGTTGTTGCGGTGATTGCCTAATACGATCCATGTGGAGTTCTCAGCACAGTAGTAAGCACTCAACAAGTGTGGGCCATTTTAATTAGAAACTGCCATGAAAAGGGTAGCAGTAATAATAAAAGAACAAAGTGCTGTAGGGACAGAGAAGAGAGACTGACTCATTTTGCCTAGGGGCCTAAAGGAAAGTTTCGAAACAGGGGAGATGTTTGAGCAGGTCCTTGAAGGATGAATAGGAGTTCGCCAGGGAGAGAAGAAATTGGGCAGAGGGAACAACTGCACAAAACTGTGGAGGTGGGAAAAAGCAGAAAGTGTTTGGGGAAATGAGAAGTTCCCCAAATTGGATGGTCTTTGTGGGGAGTACGGAAGTGGGGCTGGAGTGGCTTTTGCCCTTGGCCTGGAGGAAGGGAATAGGAGGCAATGTGAGAAGTTGGGAGCAAGGTCTCAAATGCCCCTTGTCTGCTCTGCCATCGTGGGGGTCTGATTTTTGGGGACTGCTGTTCATCTCTGAACCAAATGGGCTCTCTTTTCCTATGACTGGCTCTTGGCCCATGGGTAGCTACTGGGCCACAGTAAGTATGGACATATTTGAATACATGTACTTCCTGTTGATGCTGTGGCGGCCAGCAGAGGCTGTAGATCCTTAAGTCGTCTTTGGAGATGGTGAGTGTAGACGGTTCACTGAATGTGTCCCCTAAAGCGGAGCAGGGAGAGCAAGGGACTGATCCAGCCCTTTGTCCCCACAGGCGACCACCCGTATGAGTGTGAGTACTGTGGCAGCTGCTTCCGGGACGAGAGCACACTCAAGAGCCACAAACGCATCCACACGGGGGAGAAACCCTATGAGTGCAATGGCTGTGGCAAGAAGTTCAGCCTGAAGCACCAGCTGGAGACGCACTATAGGGTGCACACAGGTACTGGGGGCCGGTGAGGGAACCTGAGCTGGCCCTGGGACCTGGTGGGGTGGGGGTGGGGGGGAGATGATTCCTTAGAGAAGCCCAAGTGAGGATGGTCTGAGGCTGAGCCAAAGAGTAAAACGGGTTCTATTAAGGGTTAGTGTGGTGGAATGAGTGCCACTATCCCACCTCTCAAGGCCAAGGTGGACATTGCCAGTCAGACACAGAACGCTTTCCCATGAGCCCAGCCCAGCCTCCAGGCAGCCACACCAGTAGGTGGGAGGTGATGTGCAAGATGATGTCTATTCGTGAGTCCCGAACTAGTGTTAAGTTGGCCTGATTAGCTGAAAGTCAAGGCTTCATGTTACTTGAGGATTAGAGTAAGAATTAGGGTGTGGGTTAAGTTATGCTGAAGGTTGGGAAATTACAAGGTCAGACTGAGTTCAGTTCAGAGATTAGAAAAACAGATGTATGTAATAATCCCTCTGTGTATGTTTTAACCATTTCACATCCCTTTTTGCATAAAAGAAGCGTGGACAAGTGTTTTCCCTTAGTGGAAGAGGTCCAGAGTTCCAGGAGAGAGGTGGGGGTGGTGGAGTGCTGGAGCTGCTCGCACCGGCCTATGAAAGCCTATTTTGCTGTCTCTTCCCAAGTCTGAGTTCAGTGACATCACCTTCATCGCTTAAAATCAGTCACAGTGGGAGTATTTACAACAGGGCAATTGGCAAATGCTACAAATCAGGGCTTTTGGGGGAGCCTTTGTTAGACATTTATCCTCAGTACACTGTTGGTTGGGGGAAGGTAGATATTCAGAAGGACTTCCTAAGAGGATAAGAACCTGGCAAACTAGGAACCCTCCTCTGATCAGGGAAGACAGCCATCCAGTCCAGAGGAAGGCACACAGAGGACCTCAGGCAAGTCCTACCGGCTTTGGGGAGGCTGTGTTTCCATGGGAGGGGAGCGGGGAGAGAGGGAGAGTTAAGCAGGGTACATATTGTCATAGCTCTCTTTTCTCGCCTCCAGCTTGGAGCCACAGGAGAGGATGGGGTGATCATTGCTGAGTGACCCTGAGGATTTCCCAGAGCCCTGGGGTTTCCTTAGCCCCTTGTCGGGGATATGACCTGGCAGGAGGATCATTAAATGCATTGGCAGTGACTATTGTAAATAGCTGGTCGATAGTTAGATCACTTTGGCTGTTCATTACTTCATTATTTGCTGGGGCCTCTGCACGGAGAAGTATTGATAGCGAGATGGCTGGCCAGTTAATTACTGTATTGAAACAAGGTTCCCTCACATCCTCTGCTCAGCTCCAGGGGACTCTAACAGAGGGGAGGTCGGGGTGGTAGGCTAGGGTGTGGCTGTGCACTCCCAAGTTCTCTGCCACCCCAACTCCACCTCAGTGTAGTCCCAGAGGGGAAGAAAGGGTCCAGGGCAGGTTCTGAGAGCCTTACAGTGATAGAGATCCCCAGATGCAGCCATGTTTGGAAGGACTGGGCTCCCTCACTTTCAACCCTCTCTTACCCCTCACCATCAGCTCTGAAAGGACTCCAACCCCTTGCTCCCTTGAAAGTCACTGTGGTCTGAGGAGCCATCCCCAAGGGGCCTCACTGTCCCTTTCTAGACATCCATCTCCTTTCTTAAAAAGGGAATAGACTGTGCCTTGGGGAGACTGGAGTCTCTGGGTGATGCAAACTGTTAATGTGCTTGGCTGCTAACTGAAAGGTTGGAGGCTCAAATCCACCCAGAGGCACCTCAGAAGAAAAGCCTGGTGATCTACTTCTGAAAAATCAGCCATTGGAAACCTTACGGAGCATAGTTCTGCTCTGACACACATGGGGTCGCCCTGAGTCGACTCCATGGCAACCAGTACGGGTATACTGGTTTTGAGAGAGTTAATAGTAAGGCAAAGGACTGGAGCTGTGCTGAACAATATCGTAGCCACTAGATACATGTGGCTATTTAAATTAGCTCCAACAAAATAAAACAAAAAATTTAGTTCCTCATTTGTGCTGGCCACATTTCAAGCCCTCAATGGCCATATGTGACTAGTGGCTACCATATTGGACGATGCATCCGTCATCACAGAAAGTCTTCTTGGATAGTGCTGAACTAGAGGGACCAGAATCCTCCAACAAGTCCAAGGGTGGGATGTGGGCACAGAGCATCCCCGACAGAGACCCTCACAGCCCCCTCCCTCCTTCTCTTGCCCTGTGTTGCCCTCCCACCCCCCACAGGTGAGAAGCCCTTTGAATGTAAGCTGTGCCACCAGCGCTCCCGGGACTACTCGGCCATGATCAAGCACCTGAGAACGCACAATGGCGCCTCGCCCTACCAGTGCACCATCTGCACGGAGTACTGCCCTAGCCTCTCCTCCATGCAGAAGCACATGAAGGGCCACAAGCCCGAGGAGATCCCGCCCGACTGGAGGATAGAGAAGACTTACCTCTACCTGTGCTACGTGTGAAAAGAGGCCCTGCGGCGGTGGAGGGGGAGCGAGAAGCAAGAAAAGAAGAATTAGAGCGAGATGAAGTTGAGGAAGGACTGTGCAGGAAAAAAAAGAAAAGAGGAAAAAAAAAAAAAAAAAAGAGAGAGAGAAGAGAAAGGAAACCTGATAGCTGTTTGGCCTTGGCTTCTCCCTGAGGCCCCGATGACCCGGGTGTCTGGGCCACTGCTCCCTGCCTCCTGGAGCCTCCACTCCCTCCTTTCCTGGCTGGAGAGTTGCCTGGGTTTCTTGGATGGGGTGGGGGTTGTTTTTCTCCTCCCTCTACCCAGGTCCTCCCTTCAAGTCCAGGAATGGAGGCTGAAAAGGGGGTGAGAGGCCCTGCAGTCAGAGCCAGTCTCTGCCTGCCCCCGTCCCACTGACTCCTCAGAAGGTGAAGACTGAGGGAGGAGGAGGAGAAAGGAGGGGCCTGTAGACGGTGGGGTTGGGCTGGGTCACTGGTTGATGCGCAAAATGGCAGCTCTAGTTTGCTGGAGGCAGATTGATGAGGGGAGGGTCTCTCCTTCCCTCCCCACCACGCATTCATCTGCTGCTTTCCTCCCCTCTGCCAGATCCCAGTGTCCCTCGTGGTCATCTTGCCTCTTGCCCCCTCCCCTAGCTCCTGGCTTCCTGCCTCCCCTTGTCTCCTGTCCTCCAAGTCCCCAGGGGGCTCCTGGCCCGTCAGGAACAGGGGAGGCATCTCCCTCCTCCTCTATCCCCTGACTCCAGAGCCCTTATGCCCACCCTTAGCTTTCTGAGAACGCAAAGCAAAACAAAGTGCATACCCCATCCTAGTCAAGCTCCTTCATGAGCAAGATGCCTGCTGAGCTACTTTTGCTTCCAAAAGGAAAAACATAGCAACTCAATATATACTATCCCACCAAACAAACAAAAACCCTTACAACCCTGTTTCAGTCCCTAGGAGAAGAAATCCAAGAACGGGCTGATTGTCCAAAGGAAAGATATGGATGATGTTCTCTGGATGTGCCCTGTACCTGGAGACCAGGATGCCCTGCCCAGGGGCAGCTGGCCAGTGGAGGGAGTGGTTGAGTCATACTGGGGACCCTCTGAACACGGGGGTCTGGGGATCCCAGACCTAGTGAACCCAGGTCCAGAGAGTGGGGCAGAATTCCTGACTCACAGGGCCCCTCAGTCCATAAGGGAGGAGGAGGAGGAGGAGGAAGGGGAGTTGTTGGAGTTGAAAGCGCTTTGGCCTTGTGTTGTATTTTGCTTCTTTTCTGTGTCCCCCTGTCCTCCTGTTAGCACATTGTACTTGAATTACCTCAGTTTTTTGTGACCTCATGAGCTTTTTTAACCCCTGTATCCTTTTTGTTTTTTTGGTTGAGGGTTGGAGGAATGGGGAGGGTATTCTTTTCTGTTTCTTGTGTAAATTAATAGTTGGTTTTATAGACTTCAGCCAGCCAACATGAGCACCCCATCCTCTAGCGACTAGCTTCCCAGTGAGCAGCCCAGAAGGAGTTGAGAACTGAGGATCTGAATGTGGGCCCGGGGAGTTGGCATAAGGTGGGTGGAAGGGATGGTGCATTGGGGTCTCGCTGTCCCCAGGGGCAGTCAGGAATCAGTGTTGGCTCTGTCCAGGGCCCCAAGTCACCTGTGCCCAGCGCCAGTTCAGCCTAAAACATTCTAGAGAAAAATCTCAGCTTTCTTGCAGTTTCCTGGGTCATTCAGGTTTGGGGGCCTCTATTATTCAGATCCTTGCAACTGTGTGGCCCCCACCTCTGTGTGCATTATCATTGCCAAAATTAGTCTCTTTTTGTGGCTGGTCAGGGGCTGACCCAGCCACTGTTGTGTTGTGTTGGGGTGGGGGTGTTGTTTTTCTCAAAGCTACCTCTTATGTTCGTCCAGTTATTCTTTTGTTCCTTCCAAGCTTCCCATTCTGCTGCTCTGCTTCCCCTCAGCCCCTCAACCCCCACACCCTGACTCTTGGAAAGCACACTTGCAATGTTTGTGTTTGCTTTGGGACGGGCCCTCTGTTTTATCTCATGCTTTATTTGCAAGACTTTGGGTTTTTTTTGTTTTGTTTTTTTGGTTTTTCTTGCCTTTCTCTGTCTGAGAAAGTGGTGGCTGCATTTATCTCTTAGATTTTAAAAAGTGGTTTAGGGAAGCGATTTTGGGGAGAAAGGTTGTGAGGAGTATAGGGAAGTCGGAGGGATGGGTGCTGCTGTGACCACCCCCCTGTCCCTCGGCCCCATCCCTCCTGCCCTCCCCTTCAATCTCATCCACTAAATCTGAAGGCCTTAAAAATTGTATGTTGGGGGGATGCGGATTGGGGGGATCATGCCACTAGCCTGTGGATTGGGGATGGTAAACTAGGGAGGGGGCTATTTTGCAATTATAATAATGACTTAGTGCTTCGGAAAGGAAAAAAAATGTTAAACTTGAACTATGTGACTAGAGCAGTTGTTGTGTTTATAATGTGAAGAAAGTGAAATCATTGTGGGGAGGAGCAGTCTGTAGGAAATCATTATGCACTATTGCTTCCTCCCCCAATCTGGGAAGAAGGGGGGATGAGCCAGCCCTCAGGGGATCTGTAAATCCCAGAAAACAGTATTTTAAAAGCGAGATGTCATTCAACTTTGGTGGGGAAGGAAGAAACAAAATCAGATTATTCCATAGAACTAGCTGACACCTCTCACTCCCCCACCCTTCCCACCCAGCCTGGGTCCCTTCCCCTGTTCACTGAAGCTGAGAGGGTTGAGCTAATATTTACAAATTGTAATATTTTTGTAATGTTTGTTAGTTCCTTTGTCAGTTCTACAGGACCTTGCCCTTTCCTTTTGTAATGTGAATAGAAAAAAAAAAAAAAAAAAAAAAAAAAAAAAATCCACCACACCACCACCAACAAATCCCTTTGTACGTGTGTGTGCGTGTGTGCGCGCGTGTGCTTTTGTGTGTGGTTGTGTGTTCAATCATGCAGTATTGTTGTAATCTGGTGTTGCAGCATTGGAGGGCACTAAATCAGCACCTGGCTGCCCCACCCAGCCCCAGGGACGCTGCAGATCCTAGTAGGGTGGTAGGGAGAGAGGGTGGGGGGTGTGGTTTCTGAAGGATACTGGGTGGGGAGATTTCTGTACTTGCTACCGTCACCCAAGAAAGCCCAGACACCCTGAAAAGAGGTCCATATGCCTCTTCCCCAACTTCCTACCCACAAAGACAAAAGAATTCTGAACTTGACTAGGCCACATGGGCGGGGCCAATGAAAGCATCCCCTACCCCTGGTGCTTTGGTGCAGGGTGAGAAGTTCTCTGGAGGCTCTGGATGTGTCTGGAGTGAAGGGGGTTTGGGAAACCAGGAGGGTCGAGGTTGCTCTCTCCCCAGGCGAGATCTAAATATTTTTACTTCCCTCTGCTTTCTGCTACCTGGCTCCTTGGGCCACCTTGCTGCCTTTAGCTGTGGTACTGCTAACAACCCCACTTGCTACTGCCTTATCCAGCGTAACAAAACGTCTCCAGCTTGGAGTGTCTAAGTTGGTTAATAGTCCCTTTGCCATGTCCAGCCCCTACAAGTGTGTCCCTTAGTGCTTTTGGTGACATTCACCCCTTACTCGTAGGCTATCTTTTCCCTGTTCACTCCTTTACTCATTCAAAGCATTAAAATCCTATGTATATATAGGATAGTCAAATATATATATAGATATATATATAGCAAGAGAGAGATATAAAATAGTAAGTATCATTGCTGCTTTGGGCTGCTTTGGAGGAGGCCAGGAATATGGGGAAGGTGGATCTGGGGTGCAAGGGTGGGTAGGGAGGCTGGGGGACCCAATGATTCAGTACAATCCAAGGATGTAACGTGGGCTTGTTTAATCTTTGTGCCTGAACAGTTTTTCCATGTTTAGAAAAAAGAAAAGAAAAAAAAAAAAAACCTGCAATTTTTCACAAGTGTATGGTAACTTTCTGGATGCTACAGGTACAACTACTGCAGGAATGTCAGTACCTGGGAGGGCGAGGGCTTCCCTCCTTACAAGGGGTGAAGCAGAGGTGGGAGGTGACCTTTGGGCTCTGTCCATTGAGGGGTGGCAGGAGGGAGTTTTGTGGTCTCTTCCCTGGCAAGCTGAACGAGGAAGAAAGCTCGGGCCACCAGGATATAAAACAACAAAGCAGAAAAAGTCCAGACTCTTAGTTCGTTTTTTCCTAGGCTGGTTTTATAAGTCTTTTTTTCCCTCCTGTCTTGTCTCTTCCTGAAGCTTCTGCTGGCTGGATCGAATGGCGGCACTTACCTGGATATTTCAGTACGAGGAGAAAAAAAAAGCCAGGGAAACCCTACGTGGTGGGATTGATAGGTGACGAAAAAAGGCAGAGACAGCCAGGAGAGAGGGGCACAAGACAAACCAGGGAGGTCAGGTCAGGAGACAAGGGTGGGGAGAGAGAAGGGTGCAGGGCATGCAGGCCTGTGGCCCAGCAGCTGCTGCCTCCCTGAGTCCTTGGCATCCCACCTTGCAGACAGGGTACCAGCCTCCTGGTATGTATCATAGTATTTGTTCACATAGTGTTATGCATGATCTTTGTAAGGTGAAGAAGCCGTGGTGGTGCACCATGACATCTGACCCATATATATAAAGATAAATATATATATATATATGTATGTAAATTATAGCACTGAGGGCCCTGGCGCCCTGCTGGACCAAGCAAAACTAAGCCTTTTGGTTTGGGTATTATGTTTTGTTTTGTCGTTTGTTTGTTTTTGTGGCTTGTCTGATGTCGTGACAGCACAAGTGCCAGTCCGATTGCTCTGTATTACAGAATAGTGTTTTTAATTAATTGATGTTCTAGTTCATGTCTACCTCAGCACCTCCTCTTAGCCTAATTTTAGGAGGTTGCCCAATTGTGTTTCTTCAATTTTACTGGTTACTTTTTTGTACAAATCAATCAATCTCTCTCTCTCTCTCTCTCCCTTTCCCTCTTTCTCTCTCTCTCCCTGCCCTGTTGTTCCCCTCTCTCATTTCTGTCTGTTCCATCCTCTCTCTCCCTCTTTCCTTCCTCCTGACCCCCTTCTGCCCTCCTGGCCCCCTAGCTCACAGTCGTGCTTACCAGTCCTCTCTGTTCTAGTCCCCAAGCAGTTCACTCGAA